CCCCAAAACCCCAAAACCCCAAAACCCCGAGAGAAATAATAGCGATTCAATTCATAAAATCTTAAATTAATTTATAAGTATTATAATAAGCTAGCGTATAAATTTTCAAAAATGAACGGTTAAATTCTCGAGGAAAAGTAAGATCAACTCAAGCAGAGTTTGCTATAGAAAGATAAGAGCCAAAACTTCTATCAAGATAAGTCAGAGCTCTAGAAAACAACATTACCTTTGATGTTCGCAGTGGGAGTATCTAATGTGCTTTACACCAATCTACATTCTTTCTATCCGCTTTATATCTAGGATAACTTTCCATAGCTGAAAGCAACTGAGTTCGGAATCATACTAGCGACATTCGAAATAGCTAATTTAGTAACTTCACTGTTTTTGGGAGTCTACATTGGATCATTTAAGAGGAAAAACCTCATAATCTACTCACTATTTGTGCTGCTAGCAGGAACTCTTGCCTTTGTGACTCTCACTAATTTGTAAACTGATGACTATCTGCTATTCTTTTGGCTCAGCATACTTTTCAGAGTTATACAAGGGGCGTCTAGCTCAGCCATCCAAATTTGTGCCTACTCTTTTGCAACTAATGAAATGTCTGACGACAAAGATCGATATATCGGATATGTGGAGATCGCAACAGGATTAGGAGATATGGTAGGACCTGCTCTTGGAGGATTTGTATTTCAGTCATCAGGATTTGTGGGGACATTCTTGGCCTTCAGTGCGATAGTTTTCGTCGGAGCAATCATCTCAATCATTAAAATACCTGCCATGCTTAATAAAAAGAGTACGAGTATTAATTTATTAAGCAATGTTGAAGAGACTTCATCCATAAACGAGAATAATGATGATAAATCAGAGGGCAGTGTGATCTCTGATACAGTAGGGAGTAGTAGTGGGATTTCAAGTGAGTATAAAAGGCTAACTTATTTCAGTTTTTTTTAGTATCCCTAGGTACTTATTTGTCTCTTGTCAGCTTGTTTTGCAGTCATTTTCACTTTGTATATTGATTGCATTTTGGCTCTGCATCTGCACAGTATGTATGGAGTATAGCATAATTTGCTTGGAATCTTTTTTCTTTTGGCTAGTATTACGTATGTGATTGGAGCACCGTTAGGTTCATATCTTTCCACAAGAATGCACAGAAGATACGTCGTGTTCCTGGCTTTTGGGTGCATGATCATTCAAAATACCCTGCAAGGACCCAGTTATATTCTAGGCTTGCCTGATTCCTTAATACTAGTTGTGATTGGTGTTTCCATGATTGGCTTTTGTTTATCATTGGCCTTGGTGCCTCTACTTTCAGAACTGATTGAGACTCTTGAAGACATGGATATCTATGAGCCATCGCAAATTTGCGACATGACTGCAAGTATTTTTAACTCCATGTTTAACCTTGGCAACTTAGTTGCTCCTTTGATTGCCGGAGTGCTTAATGACAACTACGGCTACAAGTTTACCACGGACTTCATGCTGGTAAGCACTGTGATCTACTGCATTATTTTCTACTTTACAATGATTTACAAACAAGATTTGAAAATTCACAGTGACTGATTAATTAATGACTTTACAACTTTGAACTTGTATTATTACTGAAATATATCAATTAATGATTTCTTGAATGAGACTTTAATTTAATAACCTGCCATACTTGCCAATCTCAGAGTGATGGGGTTTTGGGGTTTTGGGGTTTTGGGG